GCCTCCGGGCGAAATAAATTCCATCCATCCATCCATGTAGAAGGAACCGGGCCAGATCTTGGTTTGTAACAGACTAACACACCGTTAAGACTCCACCGAAGAAGGCAAAGTCTGTCGAATCCCTTGTTTCCAAACCAACTATAATCAACAAGACAAGTTCTACCGAGCATCACAATTCTGTGGCTTTGAAGTCAGACTGACCTGGCGTTGTCCGAGCATGGTTTTGGATGCTGTTGAACTGAGTGGGTTCCTTGGCACCAAGATTCACGGACTGAGCACTGGTGTTCAATGCGAGACTCTCAGTCAACACAGGTCCATCACAATGACGCAGTTCCTGACATAACGTCATATCATGGCACACTGTCTCTATGTAAGGGGTAAATTCCCCTGGGAAGATTAGAGAGGACAATTTTGTTCGAAGAAGAAAAAAGGGACATTCTGAGGCACCCTAACCCACTATCTTGATCCTTCATTTGTGTGGTCACTCTGGAATCGTGACTCTAATTCAAGCTTCATTTCATACCTCAATCTGTTCAATACCCATTTGGTTGATCTAAGCTTACTTGAGCATGTAACTGTTGGCTGCCCAACAGATGCATTCTGAGCGCGGATGAGATTGCGCAGTCGAGAAAGCATCCTCTTAAGCGGCGATCTTTGCGAGGCTTTCTGAGCGGATTGTTGGATATCATGGCGGAGACGAACAGGGAAATTCATGACGCTGCTGGAGGCTGAAGAGAAGGCTTCGTCCTGGCTTCCAGTCGAGGAATCCATGTGTGGGTCCCCAAGAGGAAGAATGGGTCATTTCGTAGGGTCGACGGCCCGAAGATGCCTGGTGCGGCAGACCGTAACTGCGCCCACCCCAGCGAGCCCAGCGGCATTTATGGCCAGCATCCGGGGTGCATGTCTGTATGTCGCGACCTCCACACCGACGATCATCTTCGGCCAGTGCCGGTATGACCTCAGAGAGCAGCCTGGCACCATCTTTGACATGACGGGAGTCCCAGGGGCGAACAGGGTACAGGTCCTGTTTCTCACACCCACTGAAATCCTCAAGATGCAGTCGGGCATGATTCGATCTCTTCTCGGAGAATATGCTACCTTACCAGCCATCCAACGGACTCTCAGGCGTAGTTTAGCTCGACATTGGGTGTACATTTATTGTCATATCCCCCTTCCCTGTTTCGGGTTGGTTTTAGAACTGACGGCCGAGTAAGACGGCCCGGTACGTCGACGATGAATGCAAAGCGCACCCTCCAGGACTCGTTTTCCAGAAGACAAGCGCAGCACTCTCGCTTATTTCGTCATTCCGCATCGTTCTGCCGCCGGGGGTATTTCGGCTTCCCTTCACGCCCAATGAGCCGAGTGCATGTCGGTTCTGGCTCTCGCAGGCGAGTCTGGGGAAGTCTGGGGAAGTCTGAGGACTGTGGAGGACAGCAGAGGCCGAAGTACCGTGGGCTGATAGATATCCATGTTGCATCCAAGCAAACTTGCCCATTCAGCACCGACAGGATCGGCAGTCAGGTTCTGCGGGATCTCCCGACAGGCACCAGCCTAGAAAAGGTACCACTTGGAAGCTCAGTTCAGCTGCCTAGTCTACCTTGGGGCTGGCCCGCCGGCTTTCTGGGCCGTGACAAGCTACCAACGGTGTTCTACCCCCCATTACTTCCACTCCCCCAGTTTCACCAGCCCCCGCTCCCAGGTTGTCAAAGCTGATAAACTTTCCTTCTTGGACGAGGAGAAGTGGCTAAGGTACCTTACCTTAGTGATCACATTGCTCTCGATACCACAGACAACCTAGCCAGATACGTCCCTGATTGTCGGGCAGCCAGCAGCTCTGATGCTAATGGTCTGCATGGAACCTTCTTTTTGGAGTGGACACCATCTCTAAGACTACAGATGTAGACGATGTATTCAATGTAAGAACCCCTTGGATCGCGTGTTACTATTCTCAAGAAAGGTGATGATGGGCATACCGTGATTCCCCTCGTCCGAGATATCATATATCCCTTATGCGGCCAGTTCAACCCGCTAAAAAATCTAGTCGCCGGAACTCTCGCTGGTGTTGCCGCGCGGATGTGTAGAGTCCGCCGTAGAATTTGGGGTTAATTTGGGTAATCGGAGCCTAATGCGGTATTTGCCCCAACTTGTCGTCGCAACACCCCCCTGCCCACTCCCTAACACTCACCCCTCTAAACACGCCCCTGCACATGTGACATCAGTGCAGCCTCTTCACCAAGGCGGCTTGAGAAAGAAACAATCTCGGTTGAAATATGGACCTGGCGTCCTAATTGGGACATGAGCCCAGGTAGTACAGACACTGCAGAGGCGGCAATTGCCAGTACGGCTCTCTCGTCTGGTTCGGCTCCACGACCAACCCCGGCAGATCTGTCTGGGGTCGGACTTCGGGCGAGCCGGTCCATGGCCTGTCATGGCAGTCTATCTGGGACATTGTTGTTCGGTTCTTGGCGCAAATCGGTACATGGCCTTTCGACCTTCGTTGTTTTGACTGACTGTGACCCGCTCGTGGAGCACAGTCCAGCGTGGTCGAGTGTTTTAAAACATGGGCCTGCCACGCAAGACGTCCTGTTCCTGGGTGACTACTTTGAGGTAGCATCAGAACCCAGATCTGGCCCCCCAGCCTTCCACTCCGTCTTGGCCACTGCTCGCCATCGGGTCGTTGGAACCGACGTTGCGGCTCTGGGCCAGGGAACGCCGCGGAACTTGCACGGCAAACAGCACACACTCTCTTGCGTGGCTCATACGATCCTCGCCCCCCCACCAGGTTCTCGTCATCGACGCTCGAGTCGGGCCACCGTTCCTGGTTCCCGCTTCCGCTCGTTCCAAGACCGCGCCACACAACAAACGCGGCCAGCTTCTTGTCAAATAACACAAGAGCGGCTCTCAAGTGTTGTAGATATCAAAAGGGTCATCACCATCTACCCGGGTCTCTGTTCAGTTCGGTCTTCAACTCACACTTTCGACATTCGCGTCTCACACCATAGTCTGCCTCCTCGGCGCTGCCGCCATGTCTCACGACGCAAAATGGTCACATCACGAGCAAGTCCTCCCCGAGGAAGTGACCTCACCAGTTACATCCACGGCAGCCTGGGATGACGCGGAGAAGGGCCTCTACGACAGCACGCCAACTCTGCCGGTAATCTCGACACCGCCATCCGTCCATCTCGACGAGAAGAAAGCGCTCCAGTCGTGCTCGACGGCCGATGCGACGGTAGCACCTCCGCCCGCGAAGCCGCCGGCAGCAAATAAGCCAAAGCCATCAAAACCCAAAGTCAGCAAATGGATCCTATTCCACCTCTGGTTCAACACGTACAAGAAATTCTTCACCTTCGTCACGCTGCTGAACTTGGTCGGCATCATCCTCGCTGCCCTGGGCAGGTTTCAGTATGCCGAGAATCACCTCGGCGCGTTGGTGCTTGGGAATCTGCTCATGGCGGTTTTGATGCGGAATGAGCTGTTTTTGAGGTTTCTGTATCTCATCTCCATCTATGGGCTTAGGAGTGTAAGTCAGGCCCTCTCCTCCGTTCCCCCCAATTTCAATTTTGTTGAATTAAAACGGGTTGGTGCTAACTGGGGGTTAGTGGGCTCCGTTGTGCATCAAGCTGGCCGTGACGTCGATCCTGCAGCATGTCGGAGGCATTCACTCTGGTTGTGCGCTGTCCGGCGCCGCGTAAGTTGGCACAGCCTTGCTGCAGTCACTTTACAAGCCGTGCATGAAGCTGACGCGGCAACCAGTTGGCTTGTGTACAAGATTGTCGACATCATCCGGTACCGTGCTGTCCAACACAGCTCGGTGATTGCTACTGGTATCATTACCAACGTCGCTGTCATCGTCTCGGTACTGAGCGCCTTCCCTTGGGTCCGCAAGTCAGTGTCTTCTTTGCAGTCATCCGGATGCCGAGATGCTGACGGTCCCCAGCAACTACCACAACACGTTTGAGAGACACCATCGCTTCATTGGGTGGCTGGGGCTTGCGGTATGCCAGTCTTTTTGCGCTGGTCCGGAGTTGACGCTGACGACTTGCAGGCCACGTGGGTGTTTGTCGTATTGGGCAACAGCTACGACATCAAGCGAGGGGAATGGAGGGCCGACGCCAACTCCTTGCTCAGCGCGCAGGAGTTGTGGTTTGCCGTGTTCATGACCGTCTTGTTCGTCATTCGCCCCCCAAGCCAGCCCGTATCGACGACCGACTGACTGATCGACAGTATTCTCATCCCCTGGGTCACCCTTCGAGAAGTCCCTGTGGAAGTTGAGATTGTGAGTTTCTCCCCCAATGCCAGCCCCCACACGGAGCCCCCACATCTCCAGGTTCCCGTCTCCGTTCCCCTTGCTGACAAGGGGGGGTTGCCCATTTAGCCGTCACCTAAGGTCGCCATCCTCAAGTTCCAGCGTGGCATGCAGCAAGGCCTGCTTGGGCGCATCAGCCGCACGTCCATCATGGAGTACCACGCCTTCGGCATCATCAGCGAGGGCCGCAAATCCGGCTGCCACTACATGATCTGCGGCGTGCAAGGCGACTTCACCAGAAACCTGGTTGCCAACCCCCCCAAGACGGTCTGGACGAGGGAGCTCAAGTTCGGTACGTTTGCTCCCGTTTGCGAATTACCTAATCGGGAAAGTCTGGAACATGCTCGACTAACACGGAATAGCCGGCGTCGGGCACGCTTCCGCCATGTTTAAGCGAGGAATTCGAATCTGCACGGGAACCGGTATCGGGGCAGCGCTGTCGACTTGCATCCAGAGCCCAAATTGGTAGGTTCTGGTCGAAAGGAACAAGCTCACCGGCATGGTTCTGACGCCATCTTCCCCAGGTTCCTCATCTGGATAGGGTCCGACCAGGAAAAGACTTTCGGCCCGACCATCACGAGCCTCATCTACAACAACATCCCGCCAGAACGCATGATTCTCTGGGACTCGAAGAAGCGGGGTGGACGGCCAGACTCGGTGAAGCTGCTGAAGGAGGTCTGGGACAGCTTCGGCGCTGAGGTCATCTTCATCACATCCAACAAGCAGGGCAACGACGAGATGATGCAAGGCTGCCGCGCCGGTACGTCGCAACCCGAGCCGTCTTGGCAGGATTCCTTCTGATCAGACTGCTAACCTTGGCCTGTTTCAGCCGGATTGCATGCCTTTGGCACTCTGTGGGACTTCTGAGGAGGGGTTCCCTGGACATCTCGGCGGGTCCATCCCACAATATTGCTCCCCAGGAGAGGTCATTTTAGATACACATATTGCATTGGTTGCGGCAGCATTTGGGCAGTAGATTCATGTTCATTTTTCGTTCTTATGATAAGGTCGAGGCAAGCATGGTATCGAGTCAAACGCATGATAGCCGGGGGGGGGCTACAGGATTGGTATATTATATTTCATGTCCATATCAAACCTAAAAATGCATGTGAGAGAATTAAACAACTCCCCCAACTGCCTAATAAAGAAACCCGACAATAAGCTTATCGCCCTGCCGCACCAAGCGTCGATCCCTTAAAGAGCTCCCCTGCAACCGGAGGTACCACCACCGTTCAGTCCATCTCAGTCGGGCCGGAACAAAATCTGTCGCACTACGGAGCTACAGCATGTGACGTTAGCGGGCGAGAAAGGGGCCATGCCAAGGTGACTCATTAGACAAGAGGTATGTCAATCCCAATGCGACTCTGGCTTCGAGAAGCCTCTTTTTCTTTCCAGTTCCGAATCGGGCCAGATCCCGTGTCTGTCGGAGCAAGGGCCGAAGTTGCCGGCGCCTGGGGCAGGGACCATGAATCTGCGGCTTGTGTTGTCAAAACCGGGTTGAAGGCACTCGTGGGGTCTTGGCGAGGGCTCAGAGTGTAACGGTTGGCGTTGCAGGGACGGGACGTCGGTGGAGAGTTGCGAGATAAAAGGGGTTTGATCCCTTGCTTGTTTCCTGCTCCACTGGATGTCTGCGGCCTTTTGTGTCCCTTGGGCGTTGATCTTGGGTTTGGATCCTGCTGCCACAGGAGCGGGAAATCGAGGGATACCGTTGAAAGAAGACGGCATTGTCGGTCTCCGGTTCCGTCCAGGTCGCGATGGCGCGGAATGGCTCAAAGTTCACATGACTTGTATGGATTGAAAGGATGGGCAAGCTGTGAGCATGTTGGAGGCGAGCGTACTGCACATGATCGGATCTCAGAATCTTCCATTACTCTGTATTCGAGGAAGTGTGTGGCTACGAAGGAAAACCTGAGTCCCGCTGGCGCTAATCAAATATAGATAGTTACTGAAAATCCGTCCCGAGTTCTCTATGTTGTAAAACGTTAACTAATTAGTTTCAATTAGTCATCAATGTAGAACTTGGGAAGTGAAACGGGACGAACTTTGTAGTACAAGACGCAAGTTCTGACCATTTAATCTTCTTACATTCTCTTTCTCTCTTACATTACCTCTTCCATGTGGTCCCACAGTTATAAGATCTAGAGAGCTAGAGGGCTTGTACCCAAGTTGAAGATGTTGAAGACATGGGTGGACAAAAGGAAATCGGTTGGCCAGTGTCCCAGGTTCGGGTATGAATGGCGAATTAACCTGGCCTGGTTCAGACCGACAGTTCACAGTGCGATTAAATTGGACCCTCTGGCTACCTCTATCCATAGAGAGGTTAGTTCAATCGGGGCCCCTTAAACGGGTAAGCACATTGCCCCAGTGCCAACCACCTTCTGTTGCCGATCTGTTCACAGTCAGATGTTAGCACCGAAGTGGTTGCCTGTCGTACATGTAGCCCAGTAATTGCAAGTTGTAAAATAACGACACTTTTCCGTTCTCGTGCCGTCACTCCGCTGCAAGAGTGCACACCATGGCGGTAGGGCCACTCTCCCTGCGTTCCATCTGCGCTGCTAAAACGATTAATTGGCGCTGCCGCTGCATTTGCCTGCAGCGACTTCTTCGCCGTCTCGAGCACCTCGTCGGCACGCTTCTCAATGACCTGCCTTCGTCCTGGGCGCAGGCGGTAACTTCCGGGTCACCGGCTGGACGTGGTCGACCTCTGCCTGCATGGAAGCAGGAATCTTCTTGCGCTGCTGGGCCGACAAAGCCTTGATTGCCTTCTGTGTTTGCGACTCTAGGCGTGCAGCTCATACGCTCTCTGATTCGTGGCGTCTGGATCGCCGCGTTTCAGCATCATAGTGTAGATCATGTACAGGCCCGGCATGATGTGCCGTGTCGAGAGCCCAACCCACATGCGGCAATGTCGTCGAAGACGCTGAACCAGGCGCGCATCACGATGGCCGCTTGATAGATAAGCTACATCGAAAGAGTAAGCACATGCAGCCCAAGTCAACATTCCGATTGTAATAGACTCGCGCTCTCTGAAGGAACGGATGTACCGTGCGGCTCAAGCCGGTGGGTGTGTAGTTTCCCAGCTTCTTCGCACCATTGCCGGCCGTGGCTGTGGTGATCTACTTGAAAAAAGGCGTAACGGCGTACTTGAGGACGTTCTCGACGGTCCCGTCGATGGAAAAGAAAACGGTGCACTGATTCATCATCTGCTGCTTGGGCTCCACTATGAGCTCAATGCATCTGACCACTATCGCCTTGATCTCTTCAAGTCCGCGCTTAGTCCCGCCAAGTTCCTTGACTTCGGCTTGGATGTCGCCCAGCGTGCGCTGCTGCTCAATCACCCGTGCTTTTGCGTGGTGGCCAAGCGATTCTTGCTCGCCTCAAGCACCGCCTGCGGATGCGCCGTCTTGGCGTTGGTCTTTGCGATGGTAACAACCGGTTCCTCCGAGGGATTGTTGGACATGATGGGTGCCTGGGGCGCGAAGTTGAGTGCCAATCCCCAGCCACTATCCGTGCAGGTATGTTGAAATAGGTGCGGTACTCACACGGGCGCTTCCCGGGAGGCTGCCAGCAACCGCAGACAGGCGGGTAGATTTCTTTGGTGTATGCGTCGGTAAAGCTCCTCTGCCACCTGGTAACGACCTCAGAACCCGCCTCGGGAAATTTCTGAGCGGCATCCACCGACTTGTCGACCTCGTCTTGCAAACCGGCAGCGACCTGGATGCGTATATAGTAAGACAAGTTCTCCGCTCACTCTCGATCAGACAACGGGACTAGAAGGCACTTACCTCGATGGCCGTTTCCAAGGCCTCCTTCAAGCTCTGGCTGGGCTCCTCCGCGGTTGCAAGCCGCAGAAATCTATGCTGGGCATCTCCCAACAGGCGAAGGGCGACATAAGCACTCTTAGTCCCCGATGTGCCATCCGTGCCCGCCGCCATATCCCAGTCTACGGCCCCGTCTTTGTTTTTGGTGAGGACCGCGTTGATGAGGGTAAAAAAGGGCATGTCCGTCAAGATTTCGGCATACGCCGGGTCGGTGCTATGTGGCGGCTCTGTGCTTTGCTTGGCTGGGGAGGTGGAACACTCATGTCAGGCGCTGATCCGCCGTCGGGGCGTATTACCGCCGCTGTGGCTCTAGTGAGCATATATGTATGTCCCATGGCAATCATCCGGCAAGGCTCACTGGATAAAATTGGACACCAGTTCAGCTCCGGTCCTTGCCTTAGCAACAGGGTTAAGGTTCTTGGCGTAGGCCGTTGCGAGCTATCCCGGGGCGTCGTAGCCATATCGGCCAATCCGCTCACAACTCTCTAGTCTATAAGGTCCCCTCTGGTTGGAAACTCGTCCGATGCCTTGGTGAAGGCGCTGAAAGCTAGCTTCATCTGTTCGGTGAACCTCCTTTCCGTCTCCTCAGCCGCCTTTGACTGAGGGCTTGGCAGTGCCGAATCAATACTGTTCAGCAGCCATGTTCATCCGCGTAGTGTAGAGTCGTTCCTCGGCTGAGGACTGTGTCTTGACAGGCAGCATAGAGCTCCCGGGCGTGTTGAAGCTAGCCGGCTAACTTGTCGTCGATCTCCTTGGCATTTGCGTGGCAGTCGGCGGCACCCGTCCTGATGGTTTCCAGCTGGTTCCGCAGCACTCTCCCGGCAGTCTGGGGGTCTGGCATCGATATTAGCATTACTGTCGTGGGAGATGCTTCGGGAGTTCATTTAGAAGAATAAGAAGACATAACTACCCATCAGAGTGTCTATGAGATCCGCTACCTAGACATTTGATCGAGAGTGAACAGGACAGTGTCCGCCGGAACATAGTGAAGAATGAGCTTTTACCTTATCGTAGATATCGCTCGAGACGTCCTTGACAAAGCTCATGTTCGTGTTAGCTGTTTGCACGCGGTCATAACGTTACCAAGATTTATGTTTCCACCAGATTGGCAGCCAGCAATTTGTATCTGCGAGATTAGCCACGTTGGCAATTGAATTGATGGAAAACAGGGCACAGTTCACTCTTACTAGAGATATCGAAAACCGCGATCGGTGGGGTGTTCCAGAGTGAGCGATCGAGAGGTGTTGGACGCACTTGCTACGTTATGCAACAACATCCCAAACAAGTCAGAGCCACTGGTCCGGAGACCAGAAGGTCTTCCCAGCTGTTGTCGAAGAGCATGGAGTTTTTGATCCTGTCAACCGCCTTCTCGGTCACATCCGGATCATGTGTGGTATCGGCCTCACCCTGAGCACCGTCTCCAACTGTTCAGAGTCGTCATCCGACATGCTGAAACTCGTGACCTAAGCGAATTAAGAAAAGAAAATGGAAGGTACAACACTTTGTGATTGTCGGCGTGTGGACCAGAGGAAGGTGACAAGGTAGTACCCGATCCTTGAAAACTACAGAAGGGAGTACTCCTCAACAGTCAAGTGAGACTGGGAGTCCCAGATGCGGAACATAGTATAATTGAGTTGTGTTTGAGGATTGGCTTTCGCCCTGAACGAGACCCTCTCGGTCCTTACCACATCCATTAGATCTGATTGAGTCATGACTCTACAAATATGAGCAAACAATGCGTCGCTTTATTCTCATAAATGGTTAGTCTGATGATATTACTATATAGTCCGTGCCATGTCCTCAAGATCTCGTCACTGTTAGTGAACGGGGATCATCTCGGCATCCACTACATATGGCGACTCAATCCAGTAGGCTCTGATCGATGTCACAGCCTTAGAAGTATAAGTATGAGCATGCTAACATTGTGTCACTATCTGATCATTCTGGTACCATGACTGTAACCAATAACTTCACGATCTCGTAAACGAGAATTCTCTCTGATCACCGGCTGCCGGAAGACTACCTGTTGGAGTGGCCGATGGCCTGGTTGAGGTAGTTCGCCAACCACTGAAGGCAAAATCTTATCGCCTCATTGTGTATAGTAGCGGTGGGCCGCTCTACGCTCGATCATATAAGTAGTACCTTCGATGTCTATTCGGCCTGATTACTATGTAGACCCTACAGCGACAGCTGTGCCCTACCTTTTAGTTTCTCCGCCAACCTCGCCTGCATCACACGACCTGACGATGAATCCCACCGAGCTCCTGGCTCGCCTCGACGAAATCAACACAAAGGTTCATCGGATACAGATCGAGGCCGCCCTCCGGGCAGCACAAACGGTAGAATATGTCTCGTCCCAAGTGCGGGTTGTTTAGATACGCTGGCCAAGCTCGCCGTCGCTATAAGGGCTGACTTTGATCACCGCCGTAGAAAGGGGGGGATCGAAGCTTGAGACAAGCCTTATCAAGTATTTAACCAGCAAGTGCGAGGCTATTCACGGCTTCGTGGTGAAGCCTCTAACGAAAGCCGGGAATGATCACGCCAAGGTGCGTCGTGCTTTCATCAATCATACTGCATGTCCCGGAATACCAGAGCGAAGACTACCTACCTTAGTACCGTACTAATACGAGTCTTGACTCGTCACTTCCTGGACACTGGAATCTTGTCAGACGGAAATTATGCCACATATTGAAGAGCATTGAGCAAAGCAAGGAAAAAACCCACTATAAGATTGAGTTGCTTGATAAGCAAATCGAGACGATCAACCTCACAGCCAAGGAGCAGCAAGGGGTTTTCTCCAATGAGGCGCAGTCGCTCACATCGCTGTCAGAAAGGTTGTCGAATGCCGACAACACACGGTGTCGTAGACGTTGGCGTAAGTACAGTCATCAGTGAAAATTGCTTCAAACCCCAGTCCAACCAGTCCGGTCCCGACTGAGTTTGATTGATCTGGCCAAACACAGTTCAGCATCCTGTTTGCCCTCTGGGGCGTTATAAACGCTTTCGATCACAGACTGGGACCCGGCTCGGTTCTGCAGCTGAGAACTGAGACCAATGCCGCACGCAAGCTGTCGGAAAAGCTCTCTGCACGGACTGCTGTTGCAGTGGCAGAAATTTGACGATCCAGGAGAACCCGCAAGTTCGGGTGCAGAAGCAATTGCCGGCTCAGGAGAAACTGGCAGTTGACGCCATTAAAAGGTCGAGATCATGCAGGCTGGCCTGATATCAACCAAGAAAGCGATCTCCGAGGCTATCCAGCAAGCGGGCGAGGTAAGCGATGCGGCCCGCGCTACAGCCGACCTGGCTATCTCCAAGAAAAAGTTTGCCAAAGGCATTTTGGACATCTCGCAGGCCATGGTCATGAGCCCCAAGATGGCTGCTAGTGCTATATCCTTTATGGACAGCTGACTGCAGGGTACCAGGAGGGCTCAGGGATGCCTACGTACATACAAGTCCAATGCGCTGGTGTTAGGGAAAAACTCCAGGGGGTACTCAGAAGATGGGTCAGACATGGTAATGCGCCTATGAGACTATCTTACCTACTGTAGCAGACTACCGGCAACTGTGTTAGGGGCTCCTCGGCATGCCCCAGCAAGAGCAAAGCAAAGCTGGCGATGCCTCCAGTCTGGTCTTCAAAGCGGTGTCCGAACGTCCAGGCCGGACAATCGACGATCACCATCGCTGGGTTCTCGCCGTATCCCTAACCTTTACAAGCGGTTGGTCGACGGCCGGTAACTGCTTCATCGCATTGACGGACTCACAACCGAAAGCAAATATATCCCAGTTGGTTTTGAGAAGACGCTTCTACATATGTGCAAATAAACTCGCTTCGTGGCCATAGAGCGGCCCCTCGCCATACCAGCTACTTGACAGCCGTGAGCCGCTCCAGGATTCAATGGCGGTCAGAAGAAGCTTTGAAGCACTACACCCTTTCAGTGCGAATTCTTTCTATTGCTTTCTATCTTGATACCGTACTGCCCAGAACACAGAGAGTGGAGATCCTCTGTTAGGCAACCCAGTAAGGAGTTAGCTGTTTTTGAAGGCCTATCCATCAACGTGGAAGCGAACGAGCGGTATCGCGATTTGAAGCAAGAATGTCAATGTCTAAGGTACGCTTCAATCCCCTCTTGACATTATACAGGTGTTTTAACACATTAATCTAATCTTATGAGCTCCTTGTTCCTCGCATCGCGAGCACCTGCCTCATTCCCTCACGACCGACTCTTCGCAGGCCACGACGTCCTCCTCTCCGCCCTCACATACAAATTCACCGGCCTGATGAGCTGGAACATGGGATCATACTCGATCGTGTCATTCTCGTCCTCGCGCTCGAACCGGTACCGGTACACGAGCTTGGGCAAGAACACTTTGACCTCCTGCAGGGCAAAGTTGAAGCCGATGCACGAGCGCGGGCCCGTCGCGAAGGGGATGTAGGCGGCCTTGTGGCGGTTCCTCACGGCGTCTGTGTCCCATCGATCCGGGTCGAACCGCGCGGGGCTGTCCCAAACGGCCGGGTTGTTATGGATGTGGTGCAGCGCCGGGATGACGACGGCGCCCTCGGGGATCTTGTAGCCGCCGGGGAGGATCAGGTCCCTGAGTGCCGTGCGGGCCGGCTGGAAGGAAGGGTTGTGCCGGCGTTGGGTCTCCTTGATGTACTTGTCGAAAAAGGTGAGTTTGTTGGTCAGCTCGGCGGTGATTTGGGTGTTCTCATCGAAGTCGTTGTCGATGAGCTCTTGCAGGAGGCGGTCTTGCATGCCGGGGTACGTTACTAGCCCGTAGATGAGCCAGGAGAGGAGGGAGCTGGTGGTGGTAAAGCCGGCGCCGGTGGCCACGACGAGGGGCTCGATGAAGGATGTTGCGGGGAGCTTGTCACCCTTGTTGTCGGTTGCGCGAAGGATGTAATCTTAAGAAGCATTGATTTGTCAGAGATGTTGAAGTCCTAGGGAGCAGCTAGGAGGCTGGCATACCTATCATGTTCTCTGCCTTGAGCGCGGCATCTTGGAGATCGAGGTCTTCGATGCCACCCCTCTTGGCGTCCTGGATGGGCTTCTGCATGAGGTGGAAGATGCGTTCCTTCATCCCCCGCAACCTTTTGGGGTCTCCAAACGGCAGTGCGGCATACCAGTCTCCGCGGGATGCCACCTTCTTGTTGAGCTCGAGCGATTCAGCCATCAGCATCACAAGCTCGTGCGGTGGCTGGTCCACGGCGTTAAAGTGATTGAAGTCGTAACCGAGGACGAGCTTGCCAACGGCCTGGGAGCCGAGCTTGAGCATGTAGGGGTAGACATTCCACGCCTCACCCCGGGTGTCCAACTCGTCAAACACCTTGAATGCGTCTTCGACCGTCTTCTGCATCGTCGGGGCGTAGTGCCTGACCGCCTTGGGTCCAAAGGCTGGGGGAAGGAATTTGTGGACGATACGCCACTCCTCGGTGTTGGTGTCGCCGAGGAAGACTCCGGCTTGCTTGTTCTTGATGGGGTACAGGGGGTGGTCCTCGTTGATGACCTTGGAGAAGAACTCGCTCTCTGCAAACACGATGCTGGCCAGCTCGGGGTCGTTGGTGTGGTATATGGTCCGGCCCATGGTAGTCGTCTTGAACAGTGGGCCGTACATGTCGAACAGGCGTTGGTGGTTTCCGAGATGGTCTGGGTAGATCTCAAAGTAGCTGCCGAAATATGGCAGGCCTTTGGGACCGGGCACTTCTCGGGCCTTTCTGCCGTCTATGCTGACGGTGATGGCTTCATCTGCCGCCAAGACATCTTCGATAGAGGCAAGATTCTCCGTCTGTGATGTGAAAGAAACGCCTGCTTGCATGTGAGTGAAAAAAAAAAACCCCAATCTGCCACGGAAGAGCTGGAACAATACCCTTAGGTTGGACAATGCAGAAATGCGCAGCTACAATCTCTTGAAGGTCGGCGAGCTGCAAGTCAGGCGGCAACTCAATCTCTCTAGCGGTCGCCACATCCTCACCCAAGAGAAAGAATCGTTTGATGGGCGCCATGGAGGCAGGACTTCAGAGTAGTCAGGTGTCAGTGATAAGCAGTAGGAAAACAGGGCTACTTTTGGCTTTCAACGAGAATACGAGGACAAAGATCATAACCAGGAAGCTGGCAGTTTGTCTTTATCATTGACTCTTGCACATGTCCCATCTGTCCAGTGTCGGGCAGACCTTGCACAACCAGCCACCCCTGGCGATTTGCGCGGCGTTCATAAGTTCGTGCCGAACCAGCCGCCGCGGACCCGATCGCGAAATCATCGTTAGGAATATTCTGTTCGTTTCATTCCCCCAATGAGTTTTCACCACAAAGGGTCACAGCCGCGGCAGTCAGTTGACAAATCCTTGCCACAGAAACGTCATGCCTCGGGACAAATCTAACAAACCCGATTGCGCGGGAGTGCCCGCGCAGGGTTCTCAAATTAAAGTGACGCTAAGTGGAGCTCGGACGGCGTGTTTCGCTTCAAGTCCCGAACTCCGGCCCCACATAGAACAGAGGACAACCAATCGTCATGTGGGAATTCAGAATCTGCTCTTCGACGATTTCGTGGCGATGGCCCCTGTCGAAGATCATCGTCAAAACCCGAACCGACCGAGAGCGCGACCCGCCTGGATGATTGATATCGGCAAACGGAATTAGGAACTATTGCAGCACCACTCATCTTCGGCAAAACCGACGCAAGCGTGGAAAATGGCTGTCTTAATCCTGGTGTCGGCCGCCCAACTGACCGCGTGGGGGGTGTTATTGGGGTATTTGTATAGCGCTCGACATGCCGACATCCCCAACCTAAGGTGTGCGACGAGGTCTGGTCTCTGAAGTCCCCTATCTTGATTACCTATTGGCACACACAAAATGGCGTCCACCGAGTCTATTGAGACTTCGCCGGTGGAGTACACGACCGAAGAGGTCGCTTCCCACAGCAGCGCCTCAGACAATTGGATGATCATCCATGGCGAAGGTTAGTACCTTGGGGACTGGGATGTGGGCAGTCCCAGGCGCTGTCGGTTGCTAACGAAGCCACAGTCTTTGACGTCTCCCAATACCTCGAGGACCACCCTGGCGGGGCCGACCTGCTCAAAGAAGTCGCCGGCACCGACGCCACCGAGGCTTTCGATTATGCGGGACACTCCGAGGACGCCCTGGACATCATGCGCGAACTGTGCGTCGGCGTGCTTAAGGGGTACAAGAAGCCAGCCCCCAAACGATCTGTCCCGATTCCACGCGTCGTCGAGCCGGCTGCCAAGGCCCAGCCGCCCTCCGGTTCTCCATCTGCGAAGGCATTGACTGCAGCAGCCGGTGTCGCAGCAGTCTTGTGTACTGCTGCTTACTACCCCCTTCATCCCAGCATACTCAAGCTCTCCAGAGGGCTCGGCATCTTCAAGGACCCGAAAGGACTCCAGACGGCGCACGGCCTTTCGCATCTTGGCATCACCGGCGGCTTCCCTGCGGGCTTCCTCGCCGCCTCAGCGCTGACCGCGATTTTCGCCGCTGCATCCCTTCGCCAGCTCTCCAAACTCACCCAAATCCACTCGGGTTTCACGCAGTATCCCCCGCACAAACCCTCCACCAAGCGTCGGATCCGGTCATCAGCCAACGAACGCCCCTTCCTCAACCCGCAAACCTACCAACGCCTCCCCCTCATCCGCAAAGACACCCTCGCACGAGGCGTCCTCCGCCTCTTCTTTGCCCTGCCCACGCCCACCACCACCCTGGGCCTGCCCACGGGCCAGCACGTCTCGATCCGCGCCGTCATCGACGGCAAGCCCGTCTCGCGCTCCTACACGCCCGTGTCCAACGACAGTGACAAGGGCGTGCTCGAACTCGTCGTGCGCGTCTACCCCGATGGTCAACTCACGTCGCGGTACCTGGCGCGCCTCCGCGACGGGGGCGTCGACAGCGTCGAATTTCGCGGCCCGAAGGGCGCCATGCGCTATCACCGTGGCTGGGCGAAAAGAATTGGCATGGTGGCTGGTGGGACTGGGATCACGCCCATGTACCAGGTCGTGCGGGCGATTTGTGAGGATCCCGAGGATGAGACCGAGGTGAGCTTGGTGTATGCCAACAGGAGGGAGGAGGATATTTTGCTCCGGGAGGATCTGGAGGCGCTGGCGGCGAGGTGTCCTGGCAAGCTGAGCATCTGGTACATGCTGGATATCGCGCCCGAGGGGTGGGCGTACGGGGCGGGGTTTGTGTCGAGGGAGGTGGTACAGGACAGGATGCCGCAGCCGGGTGAGGGGAGCAAGGTCATGCTGTGCGGGCCGCCGGGTATGGTGAATGCCGTCAAGGGGTTGTTGACTGACATGGGTTACAAGGCCCCTGGCCCGGCGGGCAAGATGGAGGATGACATTTTCGTGTTTTGAGGGGATTCTCGTGTTCTGAGAGGGGAAGAGTGAATGCAGAGTTATCATTGTTCATTATTGGACTGGGAACACTTACGATGAGTTGCGGCTAGGTTTGGCGACAAAGATAGATAAAAGATAGATCCGACGATCAAGAGATCATCTAACCTGACGTAGTTTGGTAGTTAGCTCAACTTGGGTTGGGGTAAGAAGCTAATTTTAGCTCAGAACCTAGGGCTAGCTGGTCGGCACGAAAACGCACAGGTATTGCATGTCTGATGTGTTCGTCGACTCTAACGGCAAATGCCGCGGATTGCCGTCAATGAGGGACGGCGAAGTGGAGGTGGCGAATGCACTCCTTCGGACTTGTCTTGTCACGAAGAACACGAGATCGATGGATTACATAAGGTAAGGTGCTGTGGAAGCTCAACGGTGACATGGAAGCTACCTTGTCCCTTACCTGGCCTGATAGCCGACAGTTAAAGCCGCAAGATTTCAACATTTCTGAATCATTTAATTGCCGTGGTGAGCGGCTGGTTCAAAATTGCGACTTTCTCTGGGCCGCTCGAGTCAGTTGATGCGCTCATAGCCGTCTGTGGCGTTGCCAATACGAGGAGGCTTCAGCCCCTTTCTCTGGGCCGAGAAGCTCATCAACAGCGTTCCACAACCACGGAAGGTAATCTAGGCCACGCTCGGTTCTTTAGTGTAGCCCGCGAACAATGTCATGGTTCGCTTCAAGAAGGTTCAGTGAGACATGGCAGTCCAGCCGTCGGTCTTAGACTGCCACGGGGCGAGGTATCATTCCAAACTGGCTTGGACAATCAGGTGAACGACGAATGACAGGATGGAGACAACCAAAAATAAAACAGCGTCATCAAAGGAGCACTCCTAATGGTCGTTAGAGTCGTCCCTGGGTTTGGGTACAAAGACTCCGTCGGAGTCTCTGACCTGAATCATCTCGCCAGCACCCCAAGAGTCACCTCAAGCTCGGGATTGCATCCGAACACTCATTCTCTAATACAACTCTCACAAACATCTTCACCGTTCGCCACAATGAAGGTCTTCGCCCTCCTCGCTTTTGCCCTCCCCGCCGTCCTCGGGTCCCCGGCCGGTGCAGGCACCATCGTCCAACGCGATCCCGACACCAGCTGCAACCCCTACACGGACTGGGGCCACACCCAGGGCGCCCACAGCTACTACTGCGGCACCTTTGGCGACTACCCAAACTATGAGTTCCATTGCGTCCGGTACAAGAGCGCGGACTACTGCAACGGCAAGGCCTACTGCAGCGACAAGCAGCCCTGCGGTGGCAACGCGATCTGCAGCTATGGCGTCTGCGTCGAAAAGGTCAATGGCAAGCACTGCAAGCGCACCTGCGACCCTTACTAGTATCATGTGAGTGTCACGCCTATTTCGCCCGACCTCCATCGTGCAAGTCAAGTTACGAGAATGGATGCTGACTCCCATTGCGTACATGTATTAAAGGGAACGCTGCCGACGGTCGAGCCAGGCCTGCAAGACGGCATCACTGTGTGTTGTGCTGGAGATAGGAAGGTTGAGCCTGGATTTCAATTCTTCAAGTTTCGTGTTACATAGCCCTTGCGGACGTAGCCACAATGTCAAGAGTCCGGCAGTTGCATTTTTAACAAGTGCGGGACCTCCACCTCCTTGACCACCACGATGAACTGCTGGCATGCTCCATGTCTCTATCCCAGTTCTACTCTCGAACTCAATTTAAACCAACCTGCCGCCAGGGGCTAGTCAACCCACAATGAGTCTTTTTAGACATCTTAGCCAGACAGCGAAGACAATATGGAGCTCTAGTCTATTGGCGTTTGATGGTGTAAACGGCCTGAGCACCATGTCCCCTCTCGTTGCACGTATGAGGACGGTAAACCCCTCACATTACTGAGATCGGCCTCAAGTACCATAACGAGACAAACAAACAGTGAATGGTAGTTGTATTCACAGCAGCATTTTTGGTGAAGGGCGATGTTAGGAACGCAATGATCAATGTCAATTGAGTTGACGAAAGTATCGACAAGTGCCTGGAGCCGGAGCATATGTATAGTGAGCGACAAACACCTAACTACCCGCTAGCTAGCCCCTACAGGCACTGCGAGTACCAATCATTGCTGTACTTGCAGGTGTAAGGAGCAGCACATGTCTTGCAGCCGTTGTACTAAGATAACCAAGTTGTCAATAAACTTGTTTATTGGGTCAAAGAAGCAAAAATACGACAGAGTACTTACGTTGGCACCGCCACACTGGGCCCATTGTGGAACAGTGCAGCCGCTGCTCGAGCTCGAGGTGGCCGGCGCAGAGCTGGTGGTGGTGGTGGTGCTGGCCTTCGAGGTGGTGGACGTGATCAGGGTGGTCGATGGGGCCGGGCCCGTAGTCGTCGTCGTGCCCGGCGTGCCGCCGCCGGAGCATCCGACACGCGACGAGCTGATGACGACGTCGTCGTACCAGAAGGTGTTGGTGTCGCCGCCGTAAGACTCCCAGCCGAAGTAGACGCCCGAAGGTTTGGGCTTGATGGAACTGCGAGTCCACTGGCCGGCGTTGGGGTTGGTGATGCCCGGTCCGGCCGTCAGACCCGAGACCACGGCGCCGTTCAGCCATGTCTCAATGGTACCGTCGGTGCCCACGTGGTACTCGAAGCATTGCCAGTCGCCGGTGGGCAGGGCCTTGGAGCTGGCGATGCCCTGAGGGGAGAGGTCAGGCAGCGTGGCGTCGTCCGACTCGCGGTTGTACATCAGGATCTTGCTTTGTCCGCCAATGCGCAGGTGCTTGTTGGTGCCCTGGGCAGGGTCTGGCATGGTGATGAAGGTGACATGCGAGTCGGTGAAGGCCTTGGACGCTTTCCTATATGCGCACGAACATTAGAACCAATCCCCGCTGAGGATATCTTCCCAGTACTTGGACCGTCGGAAAGGAGTAGTAGACCTACAGGAAGACCCTAACATAAAGGTCGCCGCTGGGAACCTTGTTTGTGCCAAAGAAAATGTGCCCGCAGTATCCACCACCGCCGTCAACCCTGATAGAGTTTTTGCCACTGTGGGCAGTGGTACTGTCGAGGGACACCTTTCCGCCCTGGCTGCAGTCTGGCGCGTAGATGGGCCATGCTGCTTGGTCCCATCCGCTCTCGAAGTCGTTGGAGACTTGGGCGGACGACAAGGCCGGGAGCAAGGCGAAAGCCAGAAGAGCAGTTTGGCGAAACATGGCTGTAGATGTCAGGCGCAGGCCAAGTCTACGGTCTGGTATGGAAAGCCCAAGTAGGAGTGTGTTCTACCTGAGAGATGAGAGCCAAGAAACCGGGTTTAAATACCCTTGACTTTGTAACGGTTGGAATCACCGACTTGGCTGCTCCGCGGTCGCTGCAGCTAAGACCAGGTAAGCTTTTCGAAGGCTGGGCTGCCGTCTCCATCGCGATCTCAGCCGGAATGCTCCGTGATGCTCAATCTGGAAGTTCGGCGCATCTTTGCGTTCAAGTCTGCCCAAATAGGAAAGGAACCGGGCGCATCGGACCGCCGCTGGGGACTGTGGTCCTCCTTAATTTATTTGAATACAACACTCTTCCCATGCACCCCACATCAACACCCGGGAACCGGGTCCTCGCCGTAACGGCTCCTTTCTCTCCCTTTCCGCTGTCATAGTCCCCTTCGGCTTAGTTACCTGGTAAGGCTCTCCGCACCAGCCACACCAGAGTTTTGCAGGCAACATTGCCAACGCTTCTTTGCATTGAGGACCCAACAGATGAAGCAACTCGCTGCCCTTCCGACCCATCATGTCTTCCTTAGTTCTTTCACCAACCCGCTTCTGCCTCCGAGCTCCGGAGCGCCGAGCCTCGGTGGGTGGGGCGCAGTACCCAGCCGGGCCCGGCCGCTCGCGAACCCACATCGGGACTTCGCATCTACACTAAATGCACCGCGCCGCGGCTGCAACCCGGCTCCGGCAAGACGCGGCTTTGTAGCGGAACCTGTGGGAAGTGGGAAAGTGAGGGTCACACTCGGCGACGAGCCCGAGTTCGTTGTCGACCCGCACGGCCTGTTTAAGGTCAAGCCTGGTGTTGAATGAGGGGTGAGCCTGTGGGGAAGGGGCTGGGTTGAAATGCCCTCCTTGCCTAAGCTCAATAAAAGCATGGGATCTTGAGTCACGGCAACCGGAAACTCACATATCATTTTGCCTGGTTCTCCAAAGCAACGAGACGACTTTGAGGCGGCCGGGGGCGACGACGCCGAGAACAGATTGGAATGATGCTCTTGTCATATAGAACTGCATGTACCGGCACAATACTAAATGGGAATGCTCGATCCACCTTGTGGCCAGTACTTAGTCGAACAGATAGGAAGAGAACTGCTCCTTCGCCTCCTCATCCGCCCACTCGACCAAATACGCTCCTTGGATTCCTCTAACTTTCTCTGGACGAGCTGCACCATCGCGGCCCGCTCATCTTGGTCAAAAGGTGCACCCTCGTCAACGAAAGCATTGGCCTGCCGGAAATCATCAGACAAGAGGCGAATGGGGCCCTAACAATCTGGCGCCGGCAAGGCTCCACGAGCGCCATCGTGTTATGTGGACCAGTTGTCCGGGGCAAATCCAAAGTTGGACAGTCGGCCTTGTTTGGCGAGCCTGAGAAACAGTTGGCGAGCAACAGACTTCGTCTTGCAGTCGTCCTCAAACTCAACCATGTCGTTATGCTGGAACACGAGGGTTGCGATATGCATCTCGGCCAATGCCGTGTACCACTTGTCGGCGGTCTGGAAAGTCGTAAGTTTCGGCGGAAAATTGACTTGGGAACGTTGGACAAGAGAACCATTTGGTTCACATTGAAAGCAAGCGGCTGGGAGAGAACGTGGAGAATTCAAGGCTTGTCTCGAGTAGAGCTCCAATGAGCGGAAAAGTCGGCTTCGCAAGCTACAGCACAAGCTGTGCCATTTTCCCGTACAGGCACTTGAGGCTACTTCCAGACCTATCGATTCGCAACATAAGCAAATGCGAAGAAATTATTATTATTATTATTCCTACACCGCTGTGCCCTTGGGCTTGCCGGACCTTCAACAACTTACTATACAGGAAAACCGCGCCCTCGTGGGCCGGGTGAAAAACCCATATCGACAATCAAGGAAACGATCAGTGTGCGATCCTGCAAATACAAAGTG